TATGATTTTCAGAGCTAGCAGGATACATTTTAGAAGAGTTTGGTTTCGTCAATGAAGTATTTTGTTATTTTGAGAGTGCTTTATCTTAACCGCTACTTCCCTTAAGCAAAGAATTTGCCTCGCGTTGCTTTGTGCGTCGCTGACTTGGGAAGAACGGGAGGAGAATGGTGTTTTTGTATAATAATACTAGGATGGGTGATAGGTACGGCAGTACTATCTGGTGCTTATGGAGTGCCTCATAAGGCTGCGCTTCGCTTTGACTTATCAGATGTGAAATGTGATAATCAGTAGAGGATCAATTTCTGTGGTGTTGACTAAGTAGATATGCTTCTTCTTGGCCATCTTATCTGACTTCTGCATGCAATTCCAGCTCCTAAGAAATCGGCCACTATGTTCTGTTCACAGTCAAGACAAAACAGCACGGCTTCTGTTAAAAAAACTTTGAAAAAGTTTTTTGAGAAATTGCATGACAGCACATGGCTGAACTGTACATCAGATTACTTCACGGGCCACTTGTAACAGCGGGCCAGACTTTTGTTTATAACTCTGCAGACAGACTGAGTTTTGTCTGAAACGACATATAGAATAATTGTAAGTAATGATTTCATGCACTGTTTTCCCTTTCGCAACATGCCTAAACATTCTCATCTCATCTTCTTAAAGAACTCTTGGACCATTAGCATGCAACAAATATGCCAGATGTACTACATATATGAACCGGTAGACGACGAGTGAGGATAAAAGACCATCGAACATTTATTGCTCTCTAGCGAGAAATGCAACTTTTTCTCTCTCTCAAATCCTCTTTGTTTTTTGCCATCTGGTCATTAGCATATCGGATCAGTTAAACTGTTTAAATGGAACTTGTATTTTGGGCACAGCTTCGAATCAGCTCCTACTCTGCTCTCGGCATATTCGTTGCTATCGAAAAAACGATTCGGTTCTACCCTTGTTCGCTGATTCAGGTTATCGGACTTTTGGCCTGCTCTTGATTTTTCTGTTTACCTATCGGGAGTAATTTTCTTCGTTTATTTTTTGTCTGTCTTTCGTTTTTTTCTAATCGTGACAATAAAAGTAGATTAAATTTTCAGCTCCTCTGAAATAACAGCTACTTCACATTCTTTCTCATTTTCCTACTCTCGTTGACCATTTTTCTGTGTTTGAAATAAGACGAAGAACGTGAAGTTCATAAGTTCTTTCTAAAGTCTCCCCCGGGTCAGAACAAAGTAGCGATTGTCCGATATCTATAATAGCAGATCCTTAAAACAAATAATGTTATCAGATACCTCTATCAGCTGTTAAGATCTGTTTAATCATTTTATCACTCTGCGAAAAACTTTCTCAGAGAAGACTGCGGCTATTCAAATAGTGATCTCTCTTTAAGAACGATAATAAGTGTCATTTTGGCGCCATGGTTGCATGCTTCTGATACTGCTGCATTGACTCTGTTTAGATGGTGCCTGCATGAACTTCCCTGTTTGGATGGAAGTGTCTCCAGCTGTGTGCATTCTTGTTTCCTTCCCATACATCGTGGTACTCTTACGTATGTCAGCTGTACAAAATTGACTTTCTGTATCGTGATCGGTGTCTGCCATATTTTGAATACTAGTTCAGTGCTCAGCGACTACTTATTCTTAATGTACTGGGTGTTCCGTTTTGATTGAGTTACTTCGACTTATTATTGTCTCTCCTAATGGCTGTTAAGACTTCATAACTGACTTGATTGTAACCGATTCTGCTATGTAGGAGTTCTTCGTGGAAAATATTACGATAAAGACGGTGCTCCAACGGAGGATGTCATGCGGTTTCGAAAGAAAGTGGAGGATGCGTTGGCTCAGCAGCGTGTGCTGACGGTCGAAACTGAGCGGTTTCCTCCATGTAATTCAGAATGGATTCAGGGAAAGGGTGGTCGAGTTTGGTGCAGCAGTCGCAGGTTAGGCCGACGAACGTTTCTCGAACGAAGCACTGTTTCTCAGTATGTCTGTTGTTGCTTCTAGCGGAGGCGTTAAAAGGGACTGGGTCGGAGTGCCAAGAAAATACTTCAAGCCTGGTTCCATACGTCCTCGTTGCGTGTGCGTGAAAAACTTTGGACCTCCACAGGGCAACGACCCGGTTTTGCCTAAGGACAATTCCGGCGACCTCCGTCATCCGAATTTGGCGGAGTACACGAATTGCAGCCCCGAGTCGGTGTTCTGTGACATGAGTTTGTAGCACCATTCTTTCTGGGCGTTTGTAGATAACAAGTACTGCTTCTAGCCGTAAATTAATTCACTGCACCGTTGTCCTGCTTTTAATTTTTTCAAAAAGTGGTACCGTTGTTAGGTTTAGTGTTTTTTTTGGTGGTGACCTGCTTTGTCACATTTTTCAGTTTTGGTAATTGCTGTAGTCTTTTATGTGATTGAATATATTTATATCATTTGTGTGAAAATGTTTTATGTACTCTATTATTTGCTCACTTTTGCAGCTATTTCGAATTGTTCTTAGAGGTTTGTGCGTTTTGAAAATGTAGGCATTATTGTTGCTTTCTAAAGTACTTAAAAATTTGATTGTTCAGTCACTAATATCGTTTACATTAAAATTATTGAAGCGTTTGCGGTCACTTTTGTCTTGGTCATTAGTGATGATTTTTTTTATTGTCTTCATTCAGTTAAAGGTTCAGACTTGTGCTAGTATTAATTACTGGTCAGGGTTAGTTGCATTTGCAGAACGCACGTGTCAAGCGATGTGTCCTTATGATGGAGAAGGGATGCAGTAGCATCAATAGTTGTTTCCTGTTGCATTCTTCGAATTCAGGTGGACTATAAAATTTTCTATTTAACAGCTAATTTCCTTGATCAAGAAACTCGTTCCGTATTGCTTCATTGAAGTCAGGTAAGTAACTGCAGATAACTGAACTTCGAATATTAAAGGCTATTTGCTTTTATGCGTGTTCGCGCTGAGGTGCGTTACATACGATCATGCCGTTATACGCGTGCACCTTGCAGCAGTATCGTTTTCTTAACTCACCTGATAGATGACAAAAAGCACAACATTAACAGCTTAAGTTCAAAAGGGTAGGTCGCATATGACCACGTCAGTATAGTATGTCTCTATTGTCCGTTGTTCTCGAGTCAGTGACTTGATAAACATTCTCTTACTGATTGTGCAAAAACTGCTCTAACTTACTTGCTCATGGATTCAGCAGGTAAAAGATTACTCCACTCCGGAATTCAATGCTTTCGCAACTGTGTTGCGGATGCTGTCAGGTATCCTAGTTTTTCCAGGACAGTGTCATTCTCGCACTTTATATTAGCTAGATATCTGACAGAACAAATCGCAACCTTGCTTTGTAAACAGTGAAGGACAAAAGGAGAAGTTCCCTTAAATTTGTTTTTCATCCATTGCAGACGAAAAAAAAAACAAATCACTCGTTCATTTCTTGTCTTTCTTTGCTATGAAATAAGGGAATAATTGACATATTGGGGTCAAAGTCTAAAAAAATCTTGAATTTCATCTTTTATGCCGCCTCTTTCTAACATTGTGAAGCAGATTTTGGCATTATTTGGACAGTTTATCTGCTAGTACATCCTTGCTAATTCGGTACAAATGAGAAATGAGCTTTAATCGTAAATTTACCTTTTTTCAATTAACAGGTGTAGCAGATACATTCAAGCTTGTTGTGCTTTTCTCTCACGGCATATAGCAAAGGTAAGGAAAATTCACATACAGACTTCACTTAGATCTACGTCGATATCTGCAGGCACTTATGAAAGTAACATTATCTCCTTTCCTTGCAAAGGTGATCACCCAAAGATTCATCCCTACATTGCGATGCTAACACTTTGGTCGCTAATTGCTGCTTGATTCAGATATAAAAGATGCATTTGACTCAGCTTCCTGCAGTTCCGTTGAAGCTCCGTGGAATGAGTGACGCCGTCGCAATTACTCCCAGCATTTGCATGTCATTCAGCAGTGCCCTTGAACTTCAGCGGTAAACGCATTGCACAGTCATAATACATAAAAGCAACACCGAGTGAAATCTGCGCATTACTGACACTAAATGGCTGCTTAAGGCAATCAACATATTTTGAAAACAGATATCGTAAAGATTAGAAGCAAATAAACTACCGATGTGCCCAAACAAAAGATAATCATAAGCAAATTTTACATGTATAAATATTCACTTTCTTTCTAGCAGATATGATTTTATGGGGATATCCATCATTGTGAGGGCTTTGAAATGTTTTATTTATAAACAGCACAATCGCTGTTGACTGTGTCAAACGGAAGATTTGCCTATATTCCGCAAAAACGTTATTCATGTGGATTAGGCACATAATAAACAGGGAAATATAATTTATGAGTTGAAATTATGACAAGTACTTTTATAGGATATTGGATCAGAATAGTAGTAAATTCCGCAAGGGAAGGATTGATGAGAGTAATATACTGCCGATAGTGCATGACCTTCTTTTTATTATAGATCATGGAAATTCATCAAGACTTGCATAGGTCAAAAGGTAAGTGCAACTCTGTGGATAGAATCCTAATATCTG